GTGCTTTTATTTGATATTACAGTATTATTCCAATGCACCATTGTTGCTACTTTGTCATGCCGTTGTTTGTAGTCAGTCTGTGCGATGTTCTTGCAGCAGCTAGCTAGATGGCCTACTGTTTCCTCAGCTTCTTTGCAGAGGTGGCATTTGCAGTCTGCTGCTGACATTATTGTTGTTGTTGTTGTTCACACAGTCAGCCAGATGTTTAGACTGGATTTGGCATTTTTATCAACCTATCAAGTCCTTCCTAAGGACCTGAGATAGTCAGATGATATTATTATTATTATTGTTGTTGTTGTTGTTGTTGTTGTTATTATTATTATTTAGCAACCATGGCAAAATCTTTGTGAAGACATTTAGAAAGAATCCTTTATTTAGGCTTTTTGTTTGCTTTCTTTAATTGCATGCAGTTACTTTTATTCTGCTTTTGTATTTTGAGTAGTCAATAAATCATCCTACTAGCTAGTTTATACAAATACAGGAGTTACCTTGACTTTACAGGTTTATCACCCTTTTAGACATCCTGCCAGTTTTTGTGATCCTAAAGTCTTCCAGAATTCTGGACAATTTGTTTTTTGTTTGTTTTCTACATTGAAAGAATCATGTCCCCAGCAGAGTAATCTTGCAGAAAAAGAAATCTGCATGTTAAGACTGTATTTTTTATCTCCAGGAAATGCTGCTGAATTAAACATTATAGTAATTGAGTACTCATCTGCTTCAAGTACCCATCTGGCATTTTTAGTATAAAGAAGAGTCATAAAGCCCTCACCCCCTTCATGCAATTAAGATGAATCTGATTTCTCCTTCCCTGTCTCACCCTTCTCATCCCCACCCTTCCTACTGTATTTTTTTTTACTCTCTTTTTCATTTTGCCTGATCCTAAACCATTTTTCAGGGAGCAAAAGTTACAACCCAGAGTTACCTGGCTGATTTCAAAATGCTAAGAGAGTTGGCATTAATTATGCTGGCATTAATTGGGTTGGTATCTCAAGCTTAATATTTGAGATGGGAGATCATTAGGATATCCCAGGTCCATGGCCAGCAAAAGAAATCCAAATATTATCAAGTAATGAATTGATACTATGACAGCCTCTCCAGCTTGACATCCCCCAGGTATGGAGTGTGCTGAGCTGGGAAAGGCTGAATTGTGACATTGCTTGCTATAAGAAAAAAATCATGGCCCCCAGCCCAGATAATTATAGAAAGAAGATCAGACAAATGCATAGAAGCAAAGGTTATTCATACCTATTCATTGAACACATATGGGGTATCCTTACCCCATTCTCACTGTGGAAAACAGAAAGTGTAGCTTTGCTCTGACCTTGCCTATCCTGGCATTCACTTATTGTATAGATCTCTGTCCCTTTTTCTGAGTAACAAAAAACCTTTGAAAAATATCAGTTACCACAGATAAAGGGAAGAAATGAATTTTTAGTTAATTTATCTTACTTTTCTTGCATGTTGTATTCTTCTTTGTTACATTTTTCTTTTTAATTCACTCCCTCTTTTTCACTTTCTCTTCTCACTTTTCAGTCTAGATAACCTTCCTTGTGACTATCACACAGTCATTTCCATGCAAGCCAAGTAAAAATTTAAAAAGCAGAATGAGAATGAAATTACCAGTGCATTTACGATCAGTGTCTTCTTTTTTTGACCCACTAATTGTTAACTTGCAATTGAAGTTTTCTTCCCAATACTCTGCAAACCATACATTTCTTCTGTTATTTTCCAATGTGCGGGAAGTAAAATAGGCATCGAATCCTAAAAAGACAGAGAGGGAATAAAAGGTTGTTGTTTATTTATAAAAAGAAGTAGAATACAAGATGAATATTTTAGAGTCTGCAAGTGGGAATAAGATACAAATAGAAACTGAGCATTAGTAATTAGCAGGGAAGACAGAGGGGAGGCATCAGCCAAAAAAACTCTTTAATACCTCACATTTTCTATATACTAACCTTGAGATTCATAGGATCATCCCAGGTTTTACTTTGATGGGAGAGGAAATAGAAAATTTCTATGCAATATCCACAATTCTATGTACAGTACTTCTGACGTGTGCCTCTCCTTAAAACAACAAGGCTGAATTGTTATAATAAAATTGTTATGTGTGCTGGGGGTATTGGGTTGGCTCACTCTAGTTCATATAGTTTGGAGATCTATATTAGTTGATTCATAAAAGTGAGCTATGTTTGGCCTGTGTGTATTGCTTCAGTCCTTCCCACTAAAACACAACACAAATGTTAGAACATTGCTTCTGTGTATAGCTCAGTTTATTCACATGGGACACTGATGTATTAATGAAAAAAGTGTGAATCACTCTCCAGAAAGCCATGCTGTTCCCCTAATTTAAGGCATAAATGGAATGAAATAACCATTAAAAAAAAATCAGAATTCTAGCAAATGAACTTCAACTGCCAACTCACAAGTTAGGTTTACAGATTTTAAGAGACTCTAACACTAAGCAGAACCACTGTTTTTCACCAGTGGAATCCAGGCAGTTGCTAGCATGCCAGAGTTTTTATTCGCTTGGTGACTGCCTTATGACTAGGCAATCTGTGTGTTGACCTGACAAATCACATGGCCTGCTGTCCCTTTATCTTTAGCTTTCCCTTGCTCAGTATTCGTTTGCAGAACAGGAGCTGAAGCAGCATCAGAGAAATGCAGAGAGACTCATAGTGATAAATCAATGGTCACAGCAGCTAAATCCTAGCCTTACATTTTGAATGCTGACCTTTATACCTGAGACACATAAAGCTCACCTGAGAAGAAGTCATGGGGGGGGCAGGGAGTGGCCGAGGATGGGGGTGTCAAAATGCAGCTCTCTGTTTGGGCAATGAGACACTGACAGCTATTAATACAAATACAGATACAAATACAAAATACTTTAATGACCAAGTATAAAATATATACAAGGAATTTGTCTTCGG